AAAAAAAAAAAAAAAAAAAAAAGTGTACTTTTATTGTTGTCTTTGTCACTGGTGGATATTACTCCTAACTTCATGTCCGACTGACAACTTTTTAAACATCAGAAAGTGAAAGTAATTCACTTCAATTGGGCCACAGAAAGTAAAAACTAACATAGGTTAGTTTCCCCTATTCTATCTAATACTAAAACTAAACTTTTGGCCGGAGATACAGTTTTAGATATTGTTAAACCAAACCTGTAATGCTAGAAATATGGAGGCCACCAGTGTTTGAAATTCACCTGTATCCAGACTATGCACATTAAATCATTAACCTTTTCTTAACAATCAGTAAAGGGGCTTTAAACCAAGCCATCCCAGACCTCTCTAGCTGCTTCTAATGTAAAGTACTTTGTTTTTAAAGATCCTCAAATCCTCAAAGATCACAGCAAAGACTCTAAAGTCAAATGTTGGTCAGTTTTCAACAGAATAAAGAAAAATCTGCTGTTTTTTTAGAGGGCTGGCAGCCTGCTCAGATTTCACCAAGACTGCAAATTTCTTCACAATGCCAATAAGTAGAGATATTAATGGAGGCTTATTTTATAGTGCATTTACTGCTTGTTCAAAATATGTAAAGACTTTGGTCACCTGAAGTCTAACAGTCAACTGCTTGACCTCACACACTTCTCCCAACTTCTCTAGCAAAGTATTTGCTTAAAAGAGATGTACATCTGCTGTACATTTTTCTCATGAAATCCTAACTCTGCTCTGGGGCTGAGATTCGGATATCTCTAACAGCCTCAGGCCCAGAGGGTGCTGGCAGACAATAACTGTGGCTCTCATTGACCAAGAACTTGACTGGCCTAAGATATCATGTAGCCTAACAGTGTAGTATATACATATCCATGGCACTACAGTTCACAGAGGGCCTGTGCCACTTCCTGGATGTATGCCCGCTCTTCCTTTTTTCTTGCCTTCCATCTCCAGCCTAGGGTTACCACAATAGAAGCTCTATCACTACCATCTGCTGTTTCTCTAAAAAACAGCAGAGACAAACAGGAAAGTCTTATGTACAGTATTAATTTAGATAGTAGATAACTCCCTGGTCGTTCACCTAATGTATTATTGTCAACACATAAAAGGAACCTCAGTAAGGTACCTGCATGTCGAGTCCTTTCTCTGTGTGCCCAAAATGCCTGGGTGTTCTGAAAAACACTTCTCCAGGTGGAGCTTAATATTTAAACCTTATTATGTGGCCACCACTATGAATGGCGGTCTTGTTGGCCTATAGCAAGGCTTAGGAGATGGGAAGGGCAGGGCCAGACTCCCAAGCCCAGGAAGTTAGTATAATTCAGAGCACTCAGGGATTCCAGGAACCCAGGGTGCTTACAATGAAGAAAGAATTGACGTGCAATGTGCTGACAGAGGTGGATTAGGTAAATATGTGACACTTCAGGCTTGCTTTTATAATAGACTTATGGGACAACTTTTCTATTTTAATGGAGTTATTTTTATGGAGTTTTTGTTGGTGTTGTGGCACCTCCAAGCTTCTCAGAACACAAGATGGAGCCAGAACACCAGCGATGGAAAAAATGATATTCATAGCTTAATTACAAATAATTTCAGCAAAAAGAAAGAGGTCCCAATTTCCTTTCTACCTCTTGAAAATAATTTATGCAGTTTCTTTAATAAATGTTAATAAAAGTTATTTTTGGCTGTTTCTAGTGATCTGGGAGATACCAGCCTTTCAAATAGTATCAAAATGCATGTATTTGGCTGTCCACTATGAAGTCCATTTCCAGACTTTATAGTGATGTAGCACTTTATAACACTTTGCATACATTACATCCATATTTGCTACCTCTAACCAAGACAAAAAGGAGAACATATTGAAGGAAAACAAAAAGCAGAACAGACTGTCTTATTCGGGGTTGCACATCCGTGCATATGTTCGTGTTTATTTACAGTAAGTACTGACATATACCAGCATATAGTCATTGACTTCAATGGGTGGCTGTATGCAGCACCTGTAGAAAAATACACTTATATCTTACTTGCAAGACCCTAGGTGCCCGTGTGCATATGCCCATATGGTTGTTTCTGGGCAGCAATTATGATTATTTACAAAAAAGTGTAGATAAAAATGAAGGAAATTTCTGTTGAATCTGTTTTCTTTATCAGACAGGATGTACAGTTTTACACTCTTCTAAAGTTTTGACATACTGGCAGAAAACCATCAGAAAATATTAAACTGAGTCTTTGTAAAACAATAAATGGAAAGAGCAATATATTAGATGGCTGTGTCGGGGTGAAGCGACAAGTCATGCACAAGATATATACACACATATACACAAAAATGAACACATTAGCTTTAAATTATTACCCACAAGGAGTGATTGTTCACTACAGCAATGCCCCAAAGGAAATGGGAAGTATTGATCAAATAGGCTGTAATCCAGGGATAGGTAACCTCAGCACTCCAGATATTGTGGAACTACAAGTCCCATGAGGGATTGCAAGGCTGACAACCACAAGCATGACTTCCAGAGGCAGAGGCATGATGCATTTGTAGTGTTCTAACTGGAGTGCCTAGGTGCTTACCTCTGCTGTAATCCCTTGCTGAATTATGATATTTCATTTTCAATATAACTGCAGTGCACTTTAAATGGTGCCAGCAAAAATAGACCGGCATTAGCAGAAGAGTTGCTAAATGTCACATAAGGTAGCCTCCAAAATCACCTAAAAAATGAATCGGCACCTCGGTGACCATGCTCTTACAGATCCCAAATGCATTTTAACAGTAGTCTCAGAGTGAGAAGAGACAGTAAAATAATCATCTAGTCACCTTAGAAGACCCTGAGGGGGCATTCGTAGCTCCTAGGTTGTTATTGACAGTCGGCAGTTAAAAAAAGAGTCATCGTTAACCAAAAATGTTTTCTTCAAGGTGGTATGTAAACTCCCATTGCTAGCTAGCCTATACATCTGAAAATGTTATTTACCTGTCTGCCCCTGTCCTCAATAACCTCTGAACCATAAACTGGAACATAATACATTCTTGATCCACGTCTGAGACTCAGAATGTAATAACCCTAGAGACATCTGGGCAACTGTTCCTTTCAGAAAGAGATCAGCAATACCACCCTGCATATTACTCTCAATACAGCTTTCTTGTTATTTTGTTTTAAGTAGCTGGAACACTGAACAATTGTAAATGTTTTTCTTGATTATATAAGGAAACATTTTCCAAAATTACCAGACATCTTCTCCACAAGGGTACATATTTTCTGTTTATTATAGCTTTAAAAACCCTTACCTTGACACCTCCTTCCATCAACAAGCAGGAAGCCTGGTGGACATATGCATATATAAGAACCAAATGTATTAGAGCAGCTTCCTCCTCCCTGGCAGGCTTCATCCAACTCTTGGCATTCATCTATGTCTGCAATCAAAGTTTTGGCAAACAAAGCAATTATTTCATGATTGGATGGCCCATTATTTTTAAACCATATTACTCTCCAGCTATTATGTATCCAGCTTGACATAATATAGTTGCTTCATTATATCTCAGGAAACAGACATTAAATGGTAATTTTAGAAAATTATGACTAGTGTGTGGATATTTCTTCTGAGTTTTTATGACGCACAAGTTGTAATTTGAGGCAGACAGCAATCCTGTCTTCAAAATTGTGAACAGCCATTGGCAAAAAAAAAAACAATCATACACATGAGTGTAAAATGCATGCACTGTCAGTATAAATAAAATACAGTACATTTACATTATTTAGATTGGTAATAGAAGTTGCAAGAGGCTCTGATATGCTTTACTTCTTAGAAAGTCACAGACAAGAACACAACCTTGTGACAAATGGTGTGCTGTTCTTAATGACACTCCAGTATTGTAAAAGTATATTTCCACCAGCTAAATTTGGTAGGTATTTGTGGGACTTTGCAGATGGACTAAGAGAAAACAGTAGATGCAGATGCACTTATACAGTAAACTATCCGGTATTTAACTAACCAGAATTCTCCTCTAACCAGAAAAAAAGATCCCCTGTGTAATCACTGTTCTGCTGAAATGCGGCATGCATTATCCTGGAAACGAATGTGTTTTAAGTGTGCCTATTTGTCTTAATTTCCTTCTGATTGCTGCATTTCAATATTAATATGTCAATACAGAGTTTATGTTATGGTATGGTATAGTATGTGGTATGGCATTAGTTAGACCTATTTTTAATAGTAACCAGAAACTACATTTATCGGAATCTACCAATCCCCGTGGATGCCGGATAACAGGGAGTTTACTGTAATTAGGTGTTGCAGCACATTTTTTTTAATAGGCAACCATTGTTTTACCTTCTATGATGGCACTAAAATACTGCAACACAGTTGATATATTACCTAAGTATGAAGGATGTATGTTTGAACAAGTACACAAACAACCCCTGATTCATCAGAGAGATTTACCCAACAACAACCATCTACAGTACTTGATCTTGATCCTCGAACTGGTTACATGCCTTGCAAATAATCAATTATGTATATCTAGCATTAACTTAAGATCAGGTAGCTGCTTTAAATGTTGTGATTTTGTTCTCTTATGCAACACATCTGCATCCTCTGGTAAGATGCAGCATTTTAGCAAAGCATTTTTCTCCCCCTAAACAGTTAGGTGCTAATTACACACAGAGAGATTAAAGGTGGGACTGTGCATCAGGAGAAACATGGATCGACTCTGAGGAATTTACCGCTTCAAGGATCAATAACATCCATAACAAGTAGGTGTTTGTTGTTGGAAAATCTCTCTGATAAATCAGGGGCTGTCTGTGTACTTGTTCAAACATATATCCTTCATACTCAGATAATATATCAACTGTGTGTTGCATTATTTTAGTACCATTATTATTTAAGGTAAAACTATGGCTTTCTATTAAAAAAAGATATGTGCTGCAACACCTACACACCAAGTGCATCTGCACCTACAGTTTACCCTTAGTCGATCTGCAAAGTCCCACAAATGCCTACCAGATTTAGCAGGTGGAAATACACTTTCTTTTTATTTACTGGCATTACGCCATTACCACTGGTTAGCCCGAACCACCATCTAACACACACACTTATTAACACAATTTAAAAAAGCAGCAATTGTGAAAATAAGGTGAATTCTGGTGTAACAATTTTGCAAATTCAAATGTATTCATAATGACTAGGCATGAGTAAACAGGCTCAGGTTCAGTTTGCGGGAAGATCCGAAAAACCAGTGTGAAGTCTACAAAACCCTGAACATAGCACCAAACCCTATTAAAGTCTATAAACCCCACTGTAAGTCCCACCCTGCTAAGTACCTTTGTCCCAATGTTGAGGGACAAGCGTCTCTTTCCCATATCCTGTCCATACAAAAGGAAGCAGGGGATTGCGGGTGGGACTAATAGGAATCTGTATGCCCCCTTTATATTAAGGGGGACCCCAGATATCTGCCCCCCTCCCAGAACGATGAGAACAAGGGTACATTACTCATTCCCAAAAAGTGAAATGTAAACAAACACACAGACATCTTGAAAAATTCCTTTAATAACAATACAAAATAAAAAACAATAAAAAATGTAAATGATGTCCCCTGATGTAAATCCATCATTAATCGCCTCATCCAGCGACAATCATGACACCCCACTGCCTGACAATGTTTCCCCACTGCACTCTCGTCATTAAATTACAAATCCCCATCTATCAATAAAGTTGATGGAGCCGATCAAATTGCCACATTAATTCACCAGCACTGTGAATGACTTGGGTTCACCTCAAGCCCAGGTCTGACCCGAACCTGAAGTTCATCCCTATTAGTGATCCAAAATGAGGTACTACTACAGGACCATAGAGTCTAGCATGCTTTAAGCATTTTAGGTGGAACAGGTTTTTTGTGCCAAAAGATAATCCTATCAAGAATGTATTAAAAACCAATTATTTTCTTGGAATTTTTTTTGCCCACAATGTCTCAGGAGCAGAATGTGATAAGATAGCAGACCTCACACTAGATTCAGTTCATCAATCAGCAATTACTAAACAATGAGTCATAAAGCTTTTATATACAGCCATAAAATGTGTGTTTAACATAAATGTTTGTTTTACATAATTAATCTTTCATTTTTTTCATTCAAGTGAAAAACACATGGGGAACAAATAGGAGATCACCATCAATGCCCCACACGCAGAGTTTATAATACATGTTCTGTCTGTTTTCATTAGGCATCATACATATTGTAAAGAAACTTTGGCTAGTGTTAAGCTAATCACTGGAATGCATTTGAAGAATTGTTGTTACTTTTGATCTGTTTGGTAATGTAAACTCGCCATATGTTTTCAAGATTTTCAAAGTGCTTACAATGTAAACAATGCCTTTTCAGAAAGGAGTTTCAGAAAGCGAGAGTATATGGGTCATTAAACAACATTTTAGAAAATAATTTCTCAGAGAACCACAGCATCTAAATAGGATTTATATTTCAAATGGCATGCTATAATACAAAAGCTCCAATTAATAGTATAACCAATTTCAAATCACATCGTCATTTGCACTGCAGCTGTTGGCCTCTTCTGTAGTCAAACAATATAGGTAATACACAGGGCACCTCTAGCTTCCCGTAAATTAAGGTCAGGAGAAGGAATAGGACCCCTCCATGATCTTAGTATGTGAGCATCAGTGAAGATAAGAAATAATTGGTGCTCTTAGAGAATAGATCAGACAGCGAGTAGAAAAAAACTTCCATTAATAGGGCACTGAAAAAGCTTTGATGAAGTTATTAAACTGCATGAACTTGAGAGGTATACTTCTCTCTTCAACTTCAAAATTAATCTTTCTAAATCTACTGCCCTAAATATGTCTTTACTGCCATCAAAGGTCGCGCGCTTACGCTCCAATTTTCCTCTCCCTTGGTCAACTGATGAGTTCAAGTATCTGGGTACTTATCTCGCTGCGGACTGCGATCCCCTGTACGATGTGAATTGTGCCTCTTTACTGGGAAAAACTAAACAAGATCTCTTAGCATGGAATTCCCTGACACTGTCCTGGTTTGGTCGATGTAATGCCATTAAAATGACCATTTTACCTCTTTCAGGCTCTCCCTATTCGGATTCCTCGGTCATTCTTGCAATGTTTATGCCAGATTTTCACCGGATTCTTATGGTCATATGCCTCCCCCAGGATCCGTTACAGCATTGTTACCTTGCCTATTTATCTGTGTGGCATAGGTCTTCCCGATCTAGCCAAATACTACAAGGCGACTCATCTTGCAAGAATAATTGATTGGTGTTGTCATCATCGGACCAAACAGTGGGTCTCCATGGAGGAAGAGGACTCTTGCTCTCTGCTTGCAGCCTTATCTTGGTTGTGCGTGCTGCTATCACCTGCTTTGGGTCAGGTGGTGTGGCAGCTAGGGAGGGAGGGATGTCTGTCAGCAGGGGGAGATGTGCTTAGAGCAGGGGGTGATGAGGTGGACTCTGAGCTGGGGGAAGGGGGGTGGGGGTGTGCTGATTTTGGAGGGATGTGCTGTGCGAGAAGGGTGAGGGTGCACTGTGTGGTAGTTGGGTAGCAATATACTGCATGTGTTGGGAGTAGGGAGTGAGAGGGCATTGTGAGCAGGAGGGTGGGCATGCTGTGCGTGCCCATGTGGTGTCTAGGGAGTGATATAAACAGCGAGGTGGCCAGGGTGGAATTATAATTCTCACACAAAGGTGCTTCCATTGAGACTTTAATAATGTACTGCCTTATAACCAGCAAACCTAGCCCATTGTGTCCATTTTGTAACTCACTCACCTTCATGTTTGATTGAAGGCAGCACATAGTTATGCACTATTTACTTTCATGTTTAGGCCGGGGAGGGGCTGGATTAATCACCATCCACATGCACACAGCATACTCCGCTTCACCAGCTCCTCTGGTTTGGAATGGGTGGGACTAGGCGTAGCTGGTTCTGCCATCACACATAATGTCAGGACCACCGTGCATCACACTGCACCCTGAGCAGTGTGTTGGAAAGTACAGTGCATATCTTTCTGCTGTGCTGCCTGTGTACCAGTGGGAGTCTCCCGCTCCGGGCCGCCCAGGAGAGAAACACTGCTTTTTATTTTTTCTCTTTATTCTGACACAGAGCCGTGTCAGAATAGAAAACAATTAATAATTTCCGGCCGCTCGGCCAGCTTCGGCTTTCAGCGCGGCTCAGCCGAGCCGAAGCATATGCCTTCAGCTCGACTGAGCCGCTCGGCTAAGTTCGGGAGCAATTGTGAATAGCACATACAGCAGACCTTCGGTTCTATAGAAACGAAGGGGTCCTGGGGCTGAAGCTAGCCGAAGGATCAGCCGAAGCTGTTCCTGTTCCCCCAGTAGCAAAATGGAAGTGGGACTTAATTATTATAATATTAAGGATTAGCTAAAACGTATGTAGAACATTTTACATGGTTACATAGACGTAGGAATTGACTTCAGCATGAAGAAAACAAGTATAAAGAGAAGAAAACTTTTTAAAAAACATTTACAATTTTGCAGATTCTAAGGATAAAATTGTCTGGAAGCAATCTGGCGATCAGGGAAAATTGGCAGCTATAAGCCTTCACACCCTCACCCTTGCTCTAGTACAAGGATATGGAATTCTGTGATACTTTTCTATCTATTAGTTGTCAATATACAAAAACTTAGGTTGGATAAACAGTGTGTCTGATTTTGAAATCCTGTTTTCAGATTTATATCAGTGCTGAGAGCAAGTTTTATGTAAAAATAAATAAGAAGCATTACAACATGCAAATATAATTTCTTCTAGTTTTAGACAAAACAGATGCAGGCTATTTACTAAAATATTTTTACATAAAAATGCAAATTAAGAAATAAAATGTATGGAAAGGTGTGTTAGAAGACATTGTGGAGGCATCAAATGTATAATAGTTGAAAGTGAGAGCATAATAAGGTCTCCAATGTCTTGGGTGCCAAATACATTTGAGTTACAGCCACACATTTTTTTTGTATGTAATGGCATGGAAAAAGCTATTACAACAAACTGCATGTGTCCACTCAACCCCATTTAGAAACTCATCAGAAAGTAAAATGTTAAGAACCACTGTAAGCATTTTATATACCAGCATGACACCACTGAATGAATCACAGGTATAATTATAGTAAAACATCTGAATGTTCACAGATGTAAATATACCATTTACATGCTTACTATAGCTGATCTTAAAGATCATCTTCAGGCTCCATTTTTTAATCTGCACTCTTCCAATACATTGCTTCGTGATGTGGTGTGTGAATAACCCTCCTACCTTACTTATAATCTGTAAAATATGCATGTTTATGGCCGGTCATCAGTCACTGGCCGAAAAACACTTTCTTTTTGTTGCCTACAGAAGGGTTTAGCAGTGCTCCTCATGCCACTTCTATAGTGTACAAAAGGGAGCATTGCAGAACTACAGTACCCATGATGCTGCGGGCCGTGGGAGGGACCATCAGGTAGCGCAATTAGGCCGAACAGTAGAAAGCGCCAAATCAGGCAGATACAGACATTTCCCCCCCCCCGTCATCAATATTTTGTACAGTAATGGTAAACCTAAGCACATACAAAAGTTTTGGAAGTATATATCTTGTAGTGAATTAATTCATTCTTCACACACATTCCTTAATGCAGCATACAGACATATAAGCCACAACATCTCTGGATGTTCAATGCACCACTAACAGGGACCACAACATATACTGTATATTTATGTAAGTAATACTTTCATTTCAACATTACCTTCACACTGTTCTCCAGCAGGTGATAGCTTGTAGCCTTCATTGCATAAACAAGTGAACGATCCCCTGGTATTCCTGCACTGTCCATTGGCACAAAGGCTTTGAACTTGGCATTCATCAATGTCTGTTGAAACAGAGTTGGAAAATGAACAATACATGAGTGACGACAAAAATTTTATTTTATTTATTGCTATATTCGGGCTATACAATGCTGTATTATACAAGAAAAAAAGAGGGAAAAGCATTAAACACTACAATACTGAAGTATTATAATCAGGGAGAATTAAACACTGAGAATATCTGATCATGTAATCATGGACCTATTGAGCACCAAGAAGATACTTTGGGCCAATAATTCATATTTTCTCAGTGTTTAATTCTTAGGAAGTTTAGGAAGTCTGTACAAAATGAAACCAACCACTTTAAAGCAAACTTGTGCCACGACCACTGAAACACCAATGACTGTCACAATGATGATATTAATGTACTGCTCAAAAGCTTTTACTCCTTTTTGCATGCCATTGGATTTGGTAATGTGTCTTCCCTGTAGCACTCAGGAGTGCACTTTCAGGTTGGGGCACTATATCAAAAAAACACACAACCAGAGCACAACAGCACCCTCCTATGTGGCACATTCCACAGCCTGTCAGGGAGCTCACCTAGGATTATAAAAGACTAAGGGGGTTATTCACAAAGCTAGCCGAAGGATCAGCTGAAGCTTCAGCTGATCCTTCGGCTAGCTTTGGTTGTGGGAGCCCATTGGTTCAGTCGAACCGAAGGGTTGCTGTATGGGCTATTCACTATAGCCCTACGACTGCCGAAGGCGGCCGAGTGGCTCAGCCGAGCCGAAGGCATATGCTTCGGCTCGACTGAGCTGAAGTGACAGCCGAAGCAGAGCGAACCTCGCAAATGACAGCTGGGCTGGCTCCGCCCAGTTGTAATGACTGATCAGCAGCTTTGTGAATAACCCTATAAGATGAAATGGTTGCAGTGTAAAAGATGTGAAGGGGATCAAGCTGAGTTAGCAGATCAGTTACACAAAGCAACTTAAATGCAAACAGCTCTGGCTGGGAAATTCCATGTTAAACTACTAATCAAAGTCTAGTCTCTTCAATTAGACACTAAAGTAGGGTATACATGGTGTGAATTTCAGCTGGTTCTTGATGAACCAGCCAAATTGCACAAAGTGGGTGCTGATGTCAGCACTGTGAAATACATCAGAAGAAGGAGCTCATGTGGTCTGCGCTTAGACCAATAAAGGTAAGTGGAATTAGATTCTGTGTATGACTACCATCTTTTTGTACATGAACGTTATGTTATTTGGAAAGTTAGCACCTGAGCTGGAGTGGATGGAGCATTTGTGTTCCTTGAGCAGGGACAATACTTTCTGTACTACTTGATCGGTCATTCACTCGGTTGCCCTCGGCAGCTTTGTGAATAGACCCCTAAGTCTGCTTGGTTCGGAATAAGCAAGAGATTCATTGAGAGGTATTCTCAAGGTTGTTAATTTAAAAAAAAAAAGCTACCTGCAGAAAAAAAGTCCTAATACCTGTCCCGCCACCTGTGCCTCTGATTGTCACTAGGTCCACCAGTGACATAGAGGTCAGCAGGTAGAAGCACATTGTGCAGGGGGGATTCAGGAGTGTTGAATAGTATAGCTATGCAAGAGAGTGAAAGTCAAGAGGCATGGGCTGCGGGACAGGTAAGTCTTATTTACTCTTCATGTGCATGTTTTTTTGGCAACTGAATTGCTTTAGGCTTATGTAATTGGTTTGATCTCAATAGCTTGACCACTGCTCAACTTGCATGCATCTTCCTGTTCCTGTTTGTACTTCTTCATCAGTCTAAATCCCTCACTTAGGGATATGTTTCCTTTAAATAAAGTATAGCATTCTTTTTATTTCAGTTTATTTTTATGAGATGTTAAAGGTTATTTACAACAGTATATCCAATTACATTTAGTTATGTCTGCGTAATTATCCCAAGGGCTATAAAATGGAAATTAAAATGTCAAATACAAGCTTAAGGGGTTTTTCAGAGTCTGATGTGTGCAATGTATTGAAATAAAATGTAAAAATATGTTGTTTTAGCCTGCTATGATATAAAATAAAAAGGTATGAATCTGACATGTTTGGTGACTAAAAAAACAATTTTCAGAATTATTATAGAGCCTGCTGTGCACTGTATTCTACTATGAAACCGTCAGATCAGAACCGTCACGCACCATTAAAAATTTGTGTTTTATATACAGTGTGTCTAGCCATGTAATAAAATCACTTGTGTTTTAGACACAGACATAAAGTATTACTTGTTAATGGTAAAAATGAGTGCTAAACTCATAACTTTAAAAGAATGCTAGTCAGGACAAAATCTGCTAGTACTACAAACACTTTCCCTCCAGTTTTAAAGAGGAAATTAAATCTGGAAGCTGTGCCCAAAAAAGGCAGGCAGAGGGAAAAGGACTGGTAAAAAGGTTTGCGTGTTGTCTCCCTGCAACTAATCTTTGCCCATTACTGACTTACCATGCCTTGTTGTACACCTGTGTCTCTGTGTAGAGGCGTCCATCTTGATACAGGCAGGGTTTTAGTGTGGTCATGTCAGCCTTTAGTAAGTGCAACAATGAGCAGCACAGCAGTGATATCACCAAATCTCACTTCAAATCTCCTGAGACTAGCTGTGCCTTAGATCTTACACTGCAGATGCACAGCTATGAGGTTGTATGGGCAGGAGTGCCTATGCACCCTCACATACCAGGAGGAACTCCAGAGAAAAGGTAAATTTGTTTGCCCTTGCTGGGCAAGATAAGCTGAATTTTCTAAAGGAGGGGGTTTGTATCTTTGACCGCATTCTGAGAGAAATTGCAGGGCCATTTCCTGGAATCTATGCGATAAATGCCTTTTCAGTTTGAAATACAGTGGTACCTCGGTTCACGAACTTAATTCGTTCTGCGATTGTGGTCACTAACCGATTTGGTCGTGAACCAAATCAAACTGTGATCTCGACTAGAGGAAGCCATGACCAAGTGTCAGAGTAGGGAAAATGGCTGCAGTTGTGTTCGCCACCCGAAGGGGAGTTCACGAACGGAGGCAACATTTTGCTGAACTTCCTGTTCGCGAACCAAATTGTTCACGAACAGAAGTGTTCCTAAACCGAGTTACCACTGTATATTGATCATAGACTTCAGTGTAATACAAGCAGGTTACTACAGCACCAATTAAATACATAGTTCATCTTTGGTCTATGGTATATAGCAATTAATCGGCTGCAACTATTGATGTGGCAGTTTAAGGGGGATTATCCCTCAATGCATGCAATCTAGATGGACCCCCCTTCCAAATATGGTCCCCCCTTGCTCCCTGTGATGGAAGGGGTGGAGCTGGGATGCCACCCAGTTGATTTAGCCTGTTCTATTTTGCCATTGTGGATATATGCTTACCGCTTTTCCTGAAGAAGCAGTTATTAAGGACTGTGAAACATGTTGAATCATATTGAGGGTGACCCCTTTTTAAACCAGCATTCATTAATTTATTTAACGTTCATGTAAAGTGTTGTAAAGTGTTATGCGGTGCTGATATTTACTTTGGCACTGCATAACAAAATTAACATTTCTATATTTTCCCCTATCGCTTAATGGTTACTTTTATATACTGTATTCTTTATATATA